ATTTAATATTAGCATTTATTGACATGACTTATGAAATAGAAGTAATATGACATTCAAATCGAAATATTATTGTGCATAACTAAAATATAATGTGCACATGTATATGAAATACATTAAAATACGTGACCTCGTTAACGTAATACATAAATATACTATACAAATGGGAATCCAGAAGTATCTATTTGCAAACAAATTATATATATATATATTACAGATAAATATATAAAAAGTGGTAAGACCTCTATTGTATGTATTTACTTTCAATGTGAAAAAACATTTTTTTCCAATTCTCAGAAAAAGACAACTTTTCAAAAGGCTTTAATAAATTTTTCAATCGATTGAAATGAAATAATAAATACACTGAAGAAATTTTTTTTTTAATAATCGGTTACATGACTATTATCAAATAAATATTTACTTAAACCAACAAATTTTTATTTAAATTAAATAATTTCTGCACTGAAAAAAAATTTATTTAATTTAAATACTCGATTACTTGACTATTATCAAATTATTTATTTTTGTATCAAATAATTATTATTTAAGTCAATTAAATATGGTATTTGTTTCAAATACAAAAATTATTGGTTCAAATAAAATTTATTTAATTCAATTAAAAATTATTTGGTTCAAGTAAATATTTATTTGATAATATTCAAGTAATCGAGTATTTGAATCAAATAAATTTTTTTTTCAAATGTGTATTTGAAACAAATACCATTAATAATAATTATTTGATACAAATAAATATTTATTTAATAATAATAATCAAGTGACGGAACAATTGTTTCAAATGTATAATAATTAAATTTTAAATCTAATAAATAAATAAAATTAATTATAATTCTCTTAATGAAATAAAATTATAATTAATATAAAATTTTTATTAAATAAAAATTGTAAATATAATAACTAAAATTTCAATTATAGATTTAACACTTTAATTAAAATATAATTATTAAATAAAAATTGTTTCACATTAAACGATTTAAAATAAATTAACTCCATATAAATTATATTCCACTTGAAATTCTTTCCAAGAGAAAACTATATGAATTTTAAAAAATAAAATGAAAAACAATATGAACGTTAAAAACTTCAATTGGAATCTAAACAATAAAATTTGAAAAATAATTAAAAATAACAATAAAATAGATGCATATGCTAAAACACGTGTATTGCTATGCATACAATTCTCTTGTGTCGCAATCACGCAAGATGTCATTAAAGCTCGTTCCACGCGTCAGTATTAATTTTCCAGGGACGGCGCATTGGAAATTCCGCTCGTTGTCCGTGTGACACGATTAGGGTTGTTTCGGACAGTGGCATGCATTTTCTCGTCGCCATAGAAATCCGGATTCCGAGAATAGAGCGCTTAAGCTCGTACCAGGGGTTAAAACAATCAAGTCGAATTGCGTTAGCACCAGATGAAAGCCATGCATGTGCCATTGAATCTGCCCTCTTTATTATATCACGGATTAGCTGTGTCAAAGTAAATTGGTTTATTTCGATCCGTAAATACCGCAAAATAAAAAAAAAAAAATTCAATTTTTTTTCCCTAAACATTTTACTATCGACGACTTTTCTCATTTCCCCGTTTTTTTAAAAATTATTTTTACGATATTAACAATTCACTATTATTTTAATAATTAATATTTATTTATGTAATATTTTCTTTTTTTAATGTTCATATTGTTTCATTTTTGGTTTTTTAATTCTCAAAATTACTGTTTATCTCTTGCTCTCTAACTCTTGAGTTATTAAAACCACTGAAAATTTTGGACTTCTCTTTCGCAAAGTTTAACGAAGCTACTTGATAAAATCGGACTCAAAACTACCAATCTCCCACCTCCGGGACATAAGTGCCCGATAAAATCTCACTCAAAATAATACTCGTGAAAGTCTACTGAAATTCTCCAAAACCAGGATTTATACACAAGTTGGAATAAAACTTTTCAAATAAATTCCCTTCATCCGTGAGTTGTCAAGAGGAAAAATATAATCGTAATGTAATAATCAATTTCTCTATTAAATGATATCATTTTAAATAATAAAAATTGTTTAAAAGTAATAAAAAAAAAAAAGTTCATTTTCAAAAACACTACATTATAGAATTTAGTTTTATACTTGAAACAAAAGTAAAAAGTTTCACAGCGCAGTAAACGGGCGTTGAAAATTTCCATTAAAATAAGACTTTAAAGATGGTTTCAAGTAGTCTATGTCAGTGAATAGTCAGACAATGGTTAATATTCTCATTAGTATTCTGAACGAAAATACATGAGAAAGGAGAAGAAAAACAAGTTCATGAACGGTTCAATTCGAAAATTACAATTTCCTACAGATATTTCAATAATTCAAGTAGTCGACAATTTCTAGTCAAACAAGCGTAAAGCACACAATTCACTTATTAGTATTCAATCCGTAATACAAGCGATCAAATCATATATAGGGAAAAAAAAAATTCACAATCCTTTTTTTATCAATCAAATATAGGGATCTAATTAAAATGTGTCAAAAAAAAATTCAAATATTACATATTTCAATGTATTATAATATATCATACATAAAAATATAAATAACATTATTAAAATATTAAAAAATAATTAATTTTATATATTCAAGTGTCAAACAATTATTGACAATGTCGACCAAAAAGGCGAACAACTTAAAAATGAATAAAAAGAAAAATCAATAAATTAGTCAGCAAATTAACAATTAATTAATTCGCTGTAAAAGCTCGATCGGAGGTTAGTTCATTAAAAGCTTCCATGTCAATTACATTCAACATTTAGAGGTCCTTTAATTGAATTATAATTTGATGAGAGATTGAATTCGATTGAAATTCTGTATAATTTTGGATTTTCGATGAAATCAGGATTTTAGCCTTATTTCAATAATATGAAAATCATGAATATATAACACGAGAGAGAGAGAGAGAGAGAGAGAGAGAGAGAGAGAGAGAGAGAGAGAGAGAGAGAGAGAGAGAATGCACGAATTTTCGAGTGCTTTTCTGTAGTACATGTATGATTATCGTTTTTGGCGGTAAATTAACGACAAATTCCAAATTTGTTGCCCTCATTTGATATCGTCGAGCGCGCGAAATTAAGCAAATGTTGGCAACGAATATTTGTCCGCGTGAGAAAAAAAAAAAAACATTGTCAGTATGCCAAAAGTTTGTCGACAAGTTTTCGATTTAACTCATTGTTATCGAGATTTATGTACATTTTTTTTCATTCTCGTTTTCAATTGAAAAATTAAAAATATATTTCAACTATATTTGCTCTTTTTATCTTTTCTTGCGTTTATAATTTTTCTTATTCTTTGCCTTTCAAATTATTATATATAAAGATAATTCATATTTAAAATAAACTAAATTCAAAATATTTGAAAAATTTCTTAAATTATAAAAATTTAAAGAAAACTTCCTATATATATATAGTTTTATTGGAAAATAAATATATTGAGAAGAAACTTTAAAAAATATAAGAAAAAAGTTTTTATTATAGAAAATTTATTAAAGAGGAACAAATATTTTATCAAAAAACTTTCTCATATAATAAAGAAAAAAGAAATGAGAGGATACAATTTCTTTTAATTAAAAAGGAATTACATTTCTCTCTGATCCTAGAGCATAAATTCTCATGTTTAATTTTCATCATTATCTCGTTATGTACACATTTTTCATCATCAAATCTCATAATTCACGACAGTTTACTATAATATACAAAGATAAGTAAAGTTTTTCTAATATTCCAAGAAAAATGAACAAAATATAAAAAATTAATAAAACTAGAAGTAAGCCTCGAAAAATAAACTATATTGCTTTATCATTCCTGGGGGTGGGGTGATTTGTAGAAAATCCACTTTTAAATTATGGCTCCTAATGCGAAAATATCACGACGACGTGAAATGCTTAGAAAAATGAAGAAGATAGAAGAGAAAAGGGGAGAGAAGATAGAAGAAAAAAAAAATAAGGGCCAGTGTGATAAAATCGTATTAAAGCATTAGAGCGACTATATAAGGTCAGTGGAAGAGAATAGAAGACTCAGAGTTTGGGGAAGGGGGGATGACCTGGGAACGAGAGAAAAAAAATGAAGAAAAAATAGTGATAGAAGAAACGGTTGGCAAACCTGACACAGAGGAACGAAAAGAGTGAATAACTTCGTCTACGTGACTTCTTTGGTCGTGACGAAAGATTGATGCGCTCCTTTCGTCACCATAAGACCTTGTCCAACCCCACCCCACACCCCCCCTTTTTTTCCAACCTCAACTTCTTTTACTCCTATAGCCTAACAAAGGATTACCCGACTACACTTCTTTCATTAAAAACAGATTCTCTTCTTCAAAACTACAATTACCAAAAATCAAACTATTATACCTTCATATATATCTGATTTTTCAAAAAAAATAGAGAATTATATTTCAACCAATAAAAAAAAATTAATTTCAGTAGAAATGTAATTTTAAAAACTGAAATTTATTTAATGATCAATTTAATGATTTCTCGATTTCCTTTCTTGGGGTTTTCAACTACTAGAAACATCAATCGATAGTGACTTCCAATTATTGGGGACTTACCTCAAACCCATAGTGAAGAGCCCCTAGGAATTCGGCCTTTGACAACGTTCTCTATGTAGCTCTAATATTTCTCCTTTGATTAATTAAAGCTCTAATGCACTTGTGGCTTTAGTCAGAAAGTTGCTGTGTTTGACGATTTAAAAAGTGGGTGCAATTATATCAAGGACTAAATCTAAGGCAATATATACATTTTTTGACTATTTCAACGATTCGTTTACTAAATGAATTAAATTTTTTTTTTACTAATTTTTAGCGAAAAAGACTAATTGGTAGTAAAAACAACTAATTAGTAGTAAAAAAACGAATTGTCAGTGGAAACTCTAATTTAGTAATTTCAATAAATAATACAAAAAACAATTTTTCACAAATAATTTCGTGACACATAAAACTCAGACCTTTATAATAGCAAAAAAAAGACTCACCGATCGATGTATTAATGACAACATTCCTCTCCGCCACTTCTGAAGATGAACCACTTATCGTTGTATATATCCTTCCCATATCCTTCACAACAATCACTGAAAAATAAAAAAAATAATATTTAAATACACATCAAAATTAAATATACATATTTCAAATAAATTCAATACTGAACAATTAAAACAATAGAAATTTGAAAGAAATAATATAACAAATTATTACCAGCACGTTTGCCAAAAAAAAGTTAAAATACATTTGAGTGATGTTCAATTTTCATTAAAAAAAAAAAAAAAAAAAAAAATGAAACTCTAGTTTCACAATTGGAACGATATCCACTGTAGTGAAACGAATAAAAGAAAATTAGCAAAAAGTGTGGAGCAATTTAGTTTTATCTCAAAGGATCACCGAGACCGGGAGTAATTTTTCTGTTGAAAAGAAATGCTACATTATTTTCAAAGCATTCTTTTTTTTCGCATCAAAATTTACTCAATTATTATTCATCCTTTGTTAAACAGCATAAAATTAGAAAGCGTCAAAATATATATACAAATTATTTTTACAAAAATTATATATATATATATATATAGTTTATATTTATTTTTTTAAGTGGAACAAATGAATAATTTATTCGTAAAAAATACCTAACGAACCATCGTCGTCGCTCAAGTTTAAAATGTTCAGTTGGTGTGTGTGTGTGGAGGTTGTAATGCACAGTTTACTTGTGACTCGTTCTCTCTCTCTCTCTCTCTCCGTAAAACTAGAGGTCGACCAAACACAAGCGCCAGCCAAACACACCAAAGAATAACAGAAAGCAAAATAATTCTTTGCATTCGTACTTTTTTGTACTCTTTGTTTGCCGCAAGTGAAGTCTCACAGAAGGCGAGAGGTCCCATTCCATGACCCCGTTATTATTTTATGTATACAAACGCAAAAGAAAAGAAAATTCTTTTATATATATATATATATATATATATATATTCAGTGCCGTTTTACATTTATAACTTTATTATGGACAAATTGCTTATTAAAATACTGATCACACGATTAACTGTAAAAAAAACAATGCGCACCACATTATTTTTTCACTTGTTTTCAAAATAAAAGTGTGGATTTAAAAACTAATAAGTTTTGATTAAATTTACTTTAAACTCATACTGTATACTATAAAACTAACAGAAAAATTAAACTAAATTTTAACCTACAAATATAAAAGTATAAATCATAATAATAATAAAAAATAACTAAAAAAAAAATACATGGCGGATATTGTTATACATATTTAAAATTGAAGTAAGGATAAATTTAAGTTAATTAAAATATCCTTTTCCTTTCTCATAAGGTATCTACTAAGATTGAAACTACGCTAATGATACGGAACTTTAGAAATTTGTAATTTCCAAGGGAAATCTTCATATAAATCCACTATTCTGTCATATATTATTATTCTCATCGCTATATCACTAATCGTTATCGCAGCACTAGAATCATCACTATTCACATCAAACTAATCATATAATTAATCAAATTACCGATCCTTAAGATTTTCATTATTATATAATTTTAACGAATATGGTTATAGCATTTACATTATTAATTTTAAATCATCAGAAACAATAATTGTAACAAGAAACTTGCATTGTAAAATATATCAAGTATTAACGGAAATTCTCTCTACATATAAAATATAGTTGAACATTAAATTGTGTATTTTGCCGCAATGATGGATTTTCGTAGTACACAGCTCAATTTATTGTCAGCTAGTCACATAAATATTCGCCAAGATAGCCTGGAAAGTTAATGGTTTGTATACATGGTTTGAACATTAATCGATTAAAAATTCATTCAAAGTTTAATCATTTCCGTCACACTGCTCACCACCTCATATGTATACATATATATATAGAGAGAGAGAGAGATAGCTGGCTATAAGACATCAAAAGCCATTTTCCAAGGCTAAATAGATTCTTTCGATGGTGGATCGAACCATTCCTGGACTCAATCGACAGGAAGCGAGCTTAATAGGGCGAATCATAATTCCTTTCTATTCTACTAACCTTTTTGTAATTTCCCTATTTTTTTTTTTTTTTTCTTTCTATTAAAGCGAGTTATAAAAAAATTTAAAAATTAAATAATAATTAATTCAAATTTCATATTCAGGGTGACCAATGACCATTTTTTTTTCGATTAATGTTTAGGTAATAAATATATATTATTTATAAAAAATAAATCTCTAACCTTCGTCAACCGATGTATCAGATCTGTCGAAAATACGCGGAATTAAAACAAATTTAAAACACTCTCGAAACAAAAAAAAAATTTCTAAAATAACAATTTAGCATTGTAAATTTTTTCGTTCGCGAAAATATTTCGAGCACTCCCGAAGTTATTTACATTAATTATAAAAAATATCAAAAATAATAAATTTTGCACAAACTCACGTTGACCACGTCTAAACAGGTCAAGTCACGAATTACAACTGATTGAATTATCTTTTGTATTTTCCAACTATATTGTTTATGACCTTCGGCCTAAGGTATACTTTTATAATGTAAACATACACCTATGGGAACACAAGTATAAAACTAATTTCAAAATCGATTCGACACTTTAAAAATACTTTAAAAATACAATGGAAAATTTTTTTCTACTTGCAACTAATTATTAAGGTCACAGATAAAAAAATAAATATCTTGTAAAATATTTTAAAATATCAATGATATAATTTAAATGTTTTTATTAAAATTATAACCAACACTGAAAAAAAAATTTGATTCAAATAATTTTTTTTTATTTAACTAATTCAATTATTAAATATATATATATATATATATATATATATATATATATATATATATATATATATATATATATTAATAATTTAAATGTTATTTAATATAAATTTTCGATTTTAATTAAAAATATTAGGTACAAGAAATTATATTTCCCAATTCGGAGCAAAATTGCCCGCTAATTCCCAGTTTTTCACGGTCAGTGGACACCCTATATTAAAAAAAATTTATTAATTTTTTACAATTCAAAATATAACAAAAATTTATGTTATAAAAATGAAACGACGCAAATTGAAATTGAAAACAAAATTGAGTTAGATATATAAAGAATTTTTTCATCGAAAGCAAAAAAAAAAAATTAGATTAATTTATTTCGTTGAAATAAATTTTCACAGACTGAATGTGAAATGTAAAGTTGAGATATTTAAAGTCATTTTCTTTGAGTCTGAGAAAGCTTGATAAGCAAGTCACCTTTAACATCCAACCTCTAGTGGTTCGACATCAGCGACGAATTGGTGTCGTTCGTCTCCACTTTTACTGCGTCAGAGAGAAGTCGTGAGTGCAGGGTAAATCTGGATAAATGCGTTTTAAGGTTAAGATCATTTAGAATTCTCGGTACTCAATGCAAAACACGTTTCACTTGGATTACCCATTTCTTAAGTAAGTGTCCCTCTTAAAACGAAATCTAATCGACATCAATGATCATCAAATATACAATTACAATTTTTCTTCGTTTTATTATTATTGCGTATAAATCAACGATGTCGACAACTATTGCGCTAAGAGAAAATCACAAAAATACAATTTTAAAAAGAATTTAAAAACCACTTCTTGAATTCAACAAGAAGAAAATAAAAAAATAAAAAAACACAAATCTAACTTCTAGCCAGTGTTTCTTTATTTTCTTCTTTTTGCTTTTTTTATATTTCATTTCTCAATCCAAGTTTCATATTAACCGCGACGACATAATCTTTTCTTTCTTGGAGAATCGTTTTTACTTGGGGAAGTATATAAGACATTAAAGCGGTTCAAGGAAAAACGCCTCGAAACTTAGCCAGAGATTCTGACTTTAAAAGAATAATACAAAGTTAGTCGATAGTTTTATTTTATTCACACAATATATGTAACATATAAAAACTTATAAAAATCAAGTATAAAAGTTATTTAATTATAATTTTTGTTTTTCTATATTCTTAATTAATTATTGATAATTTTACTCTTAAAATTAAGTATTTTTTTGCTTTATAACTTTAAAGTTCCTTTTTGCATGCTTGTGAAATTTAATTTTAAAAAAAAAAGTTAAAGAGAAGAAGCTGCACATTCAAGATAAAAATGTGTTTTCTTTTTTTTCATCTTTTGAAATTAACCACTGTAATGTCATATATACAATGTGTTCTTCGTCATGGAACGTTCTCGAGTATCCACGAACACATAGGAAGAGAAACGAGCTTAGATGAGGTTGATTTCCCTGTAGGGCAGTAGAGGGACACGTATAAGCCAGTGTATATTCTCGACCCGGGGTCTCTTTTCCACGTGACCTTAAAATTCGCGACGTTGGCTTGGTCCCATCTCCCAGCCTCGACGTCGACAAACGCATTCATTCCACTTTTAGAAAAGTTTCACCAAAACCTATATATATATATATATATATATATATATATATATATATACGCGAATATAGGTCCGCAACCCGTGCCAAATGACCTACGAGAAACGGGACGCGAGAAGATAACTCTCTCGGAACAATGATTCTACTCAAAAGGCCAACTTTTCTCCGCATGTTATAAAGTAAAAAGCGATATGGTATCTTACTCTCGCAATCGGTTTAGTTGGCATTTTAGTGATTCTACTCGTGATGACGCGCTCCTTTTCCAACGAATAATTCCCAGAATTCGTTGAGTGCTAGAGACCCTAATTAAATTTCCATTTTAATGAAAGTGTTTCGTGGCGAAGTCTCGTTATGATCCGCAAAACAGGGCAGAGCATGGCAGCAAAAAAAAAAAAAAAAAAATGAGGAAAGGAAACAAAAAAAAGTCCACTATCAGATTCGCATTCTAATTTTCTATTGAACGGACTTTTAGTCAACTTTCGTGCACTAATTGACTTTAAAGGAGCGATAATAGCTAGAATTTTTATTAAACATTATAAAATCACACAAAAATTTAGGCACTTTTACAAAATTTAAAATAATTGTTTAAGAATTTAATCGCAGTTATATTATAAATTATTATTCAAAACACGAAAAAAAATATTTATCTGGAACAGCAAAATGTTTTACTAAAACAGCAAAAGTTTTAATTCAATTAAAT